CACCCATCCCTAGCCCAGCGCTGTTTTCTTTAAGTCATATTGTCTGCTTGGGAAGCTCATGGAAAATAGTTGTGTTAGGATTTCTCTGTAGACCCTACCTTAGGCAGCTTTCGAGTTAATATGTTGTTTTTTTATCTCACTTGGATGATAGTTACCTAATTTTCCTCTTTTTTCTTGCACACATTATCAGGCCAGAGTAAAATGGAGAAAGTTAAGAAAGCAGATGACATTATAGGAAATCACGCTATTTTTTTTTTAATTTAACCAGTTTTTATATCATTCAGTTTGAAAAGCATAGGATTTGATATTACTTTCAAAGCTGTCACGTTGTCAGTGACTTTTAGAGTTGCCAGTCAAGGTCTGGTGGATCGTCTGTTCTGGGCGTTCCAGCCTGGCTTCCTGGACCTCTAGCCAGGAAAAGATCTGCCAGCTGTTTTTAAACACGTTCTAGTAAAGCAAACTGTATACTGGGCTTGATAAGACACCTCCCCACACCACCATCACATACATTAGAACTCTTTCAACTCAGTGTGGTGACAATCAGAAAATAAAATTAAATTATATTAAAATACAAGGGGATTTTTAGGGTAAAGAGTTGGGAACCATTGATATAATGTAACTTACTTATTTTAAGGTCGTGAAAACAAAGGCCAGGGGAGGCGGAGCGTCTTAGTCAAGGTCACTGATTTATTTATGTATTTATTTTTTATTTATTTATTTATTTTTTTCCTTTTTGTCTTTTTTCGTGACCGGCAACGGATCGCAACCCTCAGTGTCGCGCCCGTACCGGACCGGGACCGGCAACGGGATCGCAACCCTCGGTGTTGCTTCCGCACCTCTCTCAGCCAGTGAGCGGCCGGTCTGTATGTGGGATCCGAACCCTCGGCGGGAGCGCTACCGCGCTTCCCAAGCGGCGCACTGTAGCAGTGCGCCACCGGGCCAGCCTCAAGGTCACTGATTTAATTAGTGGTAGAATTGTTTGTAAATATTATCAAAACAGAACAGGACAATGTGATAACAAACGATGACATGTCTCCGTTGTGTCTTTTGTAAACTGATGAATAACATTCTCCCAGCACACAGCCTATTCCCTCTAGAACAATTTAGTATTTATAGGCTAGATTTTTATTTGGAACTTTTCAGTGACTTGCTTCATACTAGACTAAAGGTACCCTGGAAGCCAGTGATAGAGAATAAGAGGCACCTAAATAAAGAAGCTTGTTGAAATCAGGGAAACAGGGCCATTCACGATCATGAGGGTGGTGGTTACTGCAGACGCAGAACAGTGAAGATTTGGCAGATATTCAAGATTATGTACTTACCTGTTAAAAAAATGAAAATATTATATCATGGGATAATTCGCATCTAAAGGCCTACATTATGTGGCAAAATACAAGGCCTTGCTCCTTGTAGGTAGGTTCCACCTGGGTTGCTAACCCAGTGATTAATGAGGCAGTTGGTGTTTTCAGTCTCTTGCTCCAAATGTCTTTACAATGCATTTGTTCTAGAAGCAAAATATCATATACTCCCCATTATGCATAAGTCCATTAAGAGTTTCCTAAGAAATGAGTCATTAACCTACTTAATGATGAGTTTATTTGGAAACTGACCAATTTAGAATTTGCCTGAGGACCAGTAAGTCACTAATCTGTTGTTGCTAGGTGGCTATCTTCTGGGCAGTTGAGTATTTCACCAGTGCCTTTTTCGTTTTTAAGGTCCTTTATTTTTTTTTTTTTATTCTGAGAAAAAAATCATGTAACTGGATTTTTATATGAGTTTAATTTGACAGAACCTGCCACCTTTCTAATGACGTGACTATAACCTCACATTCAAAGGCATAAAGGAATATTTAAGCAAACACATTTAAATTCATTAGATATTCATATTTTTCAAAATGTAATAGGCACACACATGGCCTTGTGCTCTCGTGGGCGACTCTGCGTTTTGTTTACATTGGCTGTCAGTCTCCTCGACATCCGAGAAGGGAGTACTTCCTTCCGAGCAGATGGCAGCTCCAGCATCCGAGCAGCCACCCTGAGGGGCGTGCACGGTGATCGTCCAGGCGTCACCACCGACAGGGACTGGTGATCGGAGCCTGCCTTGCAGGACAGACAGGACCGGGAAATGTTTTGCTATCTGAGGCTAATGGAGGGATGCAGCTTCTTGAGGTTAAAAAGAACATCAGGTTGAGAATACCCTGATTTGCAGTGATGGGCTTGTCCAGCACTTATCCTGTTTGTCAGAAAAACTCACGGGAGTGAATATTCTGATGTGCTGTGTGCAGCTGCAGAGGTCTCTCCTGAGCGAGATGTTGACCCTTCTGTGACCTTCTGCCTTCTGCAGAGGACCTTCCACCTGCAC